CATCCACTCCTTTTCACACTGAATTGTCTTAGGGCTCTAGTATATTCAGGGACCAGAAGTCCCTTCCTTCCTCCCTACCTCTTCCTGGGCAGGTGATGTCTGCCCTGCCCTGAAATACGATATTAGATTTCAGTCAACCTGCTTTGCATGTTGTGAGAAGCTGCTTTGTGTCAGGTACCCTGCTAAGCCCTAGAGATACAAAGACAGCCAGGGTGGCATAGTAAAGCTGGAAGACAACGGACCTTAGTCAAAGAAGCACATTACAATGGTCCATCCTGGAGGCACATGAAAAGGCTCTCGGAGCACAGATGCTATAAACAGGAAAGATGACTGAAGGCCATGAACAGTGGACAGGAAAGAGTTAAAGATATTTCCCACCGGTCCCAGTCTGCACTGTTTCATTGCAAAGTCACATGCATACAGTTTCTGTTCTGTGAGAATGAACACAGAAGACAAAACAAAACAAAACAAAACAAAACAAAACAACAAACAAAAAACCCCAACATCTTAAACCAAATACTGTGTTTTCTGGTGGAGGATACCAATATTCTTGCTGCCCTCTCTTTTTGTCCAGAATCATAAGGCAAAGACTGATATCCCTATGAGAACGCAGGGCCGCTCTGTGACTGTATCAAATCTCCTATGACAGGTATGCATTGCACAAGGTCTCTCTCTTCTTTGGCATTTGGCATAGCTGCAATTCCGAATTTTAAAAAATGCGATAGCTTGATGATTTTCTATAATGTGACACTGTAATAGTCACAGATCAGGGCTTGCTTGTTTCTCCCATCTTTGCACCTTTAGCACCCATCACAAGACCTGCCACATTAAAACACTCAATAAATAGGTGTCAGAGAAGAGCCAATAAATGATAATACCATTATCAGCTAGGTATCTCCATAAATTTAGATACAATGTTTCATATAATCCTTACAGTAATCCTTTTTTAAATATAAGATCACTGAGTCTTTGAGAGCTGAAAAATGGGAGGTGTATGATTTGAACCCAGGTCCACCTGGCTTGCTGCAGCCACACTCTTAGCTACACTGTCATATAATAAGATCTATTAGGGGAGGGGGTTGATACAGCAAGTTTCCAGAAACAAGGGCTGGAAGCAACAGACAGAATGAAAGGTCATTTTTAGCAAGTGCATCGGGCACCGAATGTGGAAGTGCCGAATTCCTGCTGATTTCCATTCCACAAAGACAAATTGGAAATCACTTAAATATCCAAAGTAAGAAAATTGTTAAGTCAGTTATGGCTATGGCACATCTGTGTGGTATGAATACTATTTAATCATCAAGTCATATTTTATGAGAATATGGGGAAATGTTCGAGATATATCATTAGATAGAAAAGGCAGATTATAAAAAAGGCTATATACTATAACTTGACTTTATTTTGTTTTGTTTTGATATATTCATTTTTTAATTTTTATTTTTTGAAGTAATACATGTATAGAACTTAAAAACTAACATACTAGTACAAGGCTTGTTACAAGAAACAGTGATCCCTTGACTCTCCTTTTCCTCCTCAGGAGCCCTTCTCTAAGAATAAATCAGAGATAAAGAATATTTAAATTCTTTAACTGTTTCTTCTTGCATTTGCCTTCATGTTTCAGACCAGTACCACCAAGAGACCAGGCACGGATCTGGTACCAGATCCAGGCATGGTTTCAGATCTAGGCACGGATCTGGTTCTAGCAGATCAGATCACTCCTGCTGGACAAAACAAGTATTTCTTTCTTGGGATCTTCTAAGACTGAACCATTAATATGGTGCTTACTTGCTGATGTGAGATGACTCATTTATATCAGACACAGGATAAGTTCAGGCCCTGGACTTCCAACTTTCCACTGTTGACCCTTGGCTTAGAGCTGCACCAAGAAGCCTGTGCAATGGATCTCACCCATCCATGTTCCAATTATCCTGCTACTTCAGGTCTACAGCATCCAAACATGGGCGTGTGGTTTTGGTGGTGATGGTGGAAATTCTTTCGCCTGTATGCCCTCTGCCAATGGCACTATCCACTGTCAAGCAGTCCTACAGAAGTGCTGTGCCCCGCCCCCCCCCAGGGTTCTTGAGACTGTTGCTCCTGAATACCAACAGGCCCTTCTCATCCGTTTGCTCTAATTGCCTCCAGTGCATGAAGACATATCAATCTCCAGGGTCAGTCTTCAGCTGTGCTAGACAAGAGATAGTCTCTGTTAATGTAACACCCCATCAGCTTTTCGAGTCACTGGAAAACAGTATTCACAGAAAGTAATGGTTTAACCAGCATTAAATACGTAGAATTAGGGAACTGTAAAGTAAGATCTATATTATTTCAATACAGATTCTGAAGAAATAGTGCCTTATGAGTAATAACAGTACTGCTATCTTTTTTCTCAGGGCAGTGAAGAGATATGAAATTAGCCAAGAATGGAACTGTTGACAATAAAGAACACAATGCTATGGTTTCTGTGCCTGAACTAGAAGAGGTGTTCCTGGACACTATGATACTTCCCAAATGTAAATACCTCTTCTTTTCTCTACATCTGCAAATAAATCAAATCCTGATATCTTTCATGGGCCCATGAACTTTATCACACACCTTACACTGAATTGTTTATGTAAAAAAAAAAGGCACTACAAAAGTATTATCCTGTATCCTACATACCTTAGGGGAGGCTCTATTTATAACTTGCAGGGTTGCTACTTCAGGATTTCATAATTTTAGACATTATCTATTGAGCTCCTTCTCTAGAAGATCAGAAATGATCTTTCTTAAACTTCTTCAGCTTCACATATATATACATTTATATACGTGTGTGTGTGTGTGTGTGTGTGTGTGTGTGTGTAAATTCCGACACCAAAGTAAATAGCAGGTTTGCTTCCACAACATTGCTAACATACCAGAGTCTCTGAGGAAGTGCTAGGTTTATTTTCACAGCCAATTTTTGCCTTTTGGATGCCCTGGGTCCTGGCTTCATTCCCAGATTAGGTCTTGGCTCCTGCTAAGAGTCAACCAACTGCTAAAAATGCAGAGACTTAGAAGCCAAAGGACTGGAAAAGAAGAGCTTGAAGAACGAGCCAGCCTGTCAAGGATCCAACAGGCTGTAACTGGTGGAGGGGGGCTCCTGCCAACTATCACAGGGATTCCAGAGTAGACCACAGAACATCTGGGACAGGCTGCGGAAGTTCAAGGGTGGAACTGTTCCAAACGTGATTCCTGACTGTAATCTAACTCCAATTCTTTTCATCTGATTATGTTTCATGAGTTTCTTACTTTGTCTCTTCCTCTCATAGTGTTTTTTTCCCATTTTCCACACCCTTCAACAACAACTCCCACTATTAGCAGATAATAAAATTCCTTTCTGCCTTATTCAATGGCCCCAGCAGAACATAAGTTCACTTTATTAGTTATGCCTTACTAGTTGCCCTAAAAGTCTATACCCAGGGTAGAGCATAAGCCTGAGAAGTTTATAGGTCCCAATAAGATTAGCCTTCTACAGGGGCGCCTGGGTGGCGCAGTCAGTTAAGCGTCTGACTTCAGCCAGGTCACGATCTCGTGGTCCGTGAGTTCGAGCCCCGCGTCAGGCTCTGGGCCGATGGCTCAGAGCCTGGAGCCTGTTTCTGATTCTGTGTCTCCCTCTCTCTCTGACCCTCCCCTGTTCATGCTCTGTCTCTCTCTGTCCCAAAAATAAATAAACATTGGAAAAAAAATTAAAAAAAAAAGATTAGCCTTCTACAAACTCTATAGAAATCAGAGCTCCTTAGGAAGCCCAAGACCTTTGCTGAAATATGAGGGTTATACAGTGTCAGCTTTCCTATGTTCATAGATGCAGAACATTGAGCAATAAAGAACAAAAAGAGTGTTGAGGAAACAATATGTAGAGGTGGGGTGCTGAGCAATAAGGAATATGGAGAAACAGCCTGTCCTAGGAATCAGAGGCAGCAATTTCAACTACAACTCTCCCACAACCCCATCTCTAAATATAGGTGGGAGAAAAGCCTCTCATAATGGAATGACTGGGTTAATAGTAGCATTTTGTCTCAGGAAGCATTTTCCCTTTCGGAAATGTTCCCCATTCTGATTTATTACTTTACTCTTAATTTAGCCTAGACCAAACATTTAATTTTAAAAGTACTTTGCTGGGACATTCTATATGCCTACATATTTAAAAGTAATAAATCCACAAGGAGTCGTTGTGGTATCAGAAGTGTCTTGACTGTGGTAGCAAATACATGAATCTATGCAGGTAATAAAATGTACAGAACTTAACACACACATAAATAACAATGAGTACAAGTAAAACTGGGGAAATCAGAATACAATCTTTGGGTTGTACAAATGTCAGTATCTTGGTCGTGATGTCATGTCATGTTTTGCAAAATGTTATCTTTGGGGTAAATTAGGCAAAGTGTACAAGAGATCCCTCAGTATTATTTCTTACATCTTCATGTGAATCTGCAATGATCTCAAATTACAAATAATATTTACAAATAATAATGAATCAGGGGTTCCTGGGTGGCTCAGTCAGTTAAGCATCCAACTTCTGCTCAGGTCATGATCTCATGGTCCATGAGTTCAAGCCCTGCGTTGGGCTCTATGCCGTCAGTTTGTGGAGCCTGCTTCGGATTCTGTGTCTCCCTCTCTCTCTGCCCCTCCCCCATTCACGCACTGTCTCTGTCTGTCTCTTAAGAAACGAATAAACGTTAAAAAAATTAAAAAATAATAATAATGAATCAAGCTAACAACACGCTAAATACAATACAGTCTATCCTCATCTTTTGAAATATGCCACATAACTACCTAGAATTTCAGGTTTCATTTTGATATTCTCTCACCCCTTGGAGTTTTATACTCTAGGGTACCCATCCCTGGTGTACCCCTCTTTTCTCACCTCAGGCTGCACCTGCACTGCACAAGATGACTGAAATGCACACTGTGGATCCTCAGTGGAACATACCCCTTTCATCTGTCCATATACCTTTCATCTCTGACACAGCCCCTCAGAGCCCCACAAACTTGAAATTCTAGAGACCTCAGTGCTCAGAGCTGGGCTGTGGGGCAGAGTTGGGGCACTTTAGCCTCTGAATGGATGCATCTCCTTGACCCTGTTAACTTCACATCTTGTGGAGGGCCATAATCAGAAAAGGACCAGGGTGAGGCCCAGGCCAGTGGTCTCTCTTGTCAAAGTCTAAGTGGGGGAGGTGTCAATCATTATTACCATTTTGTAGATAAGAAAATAGAGACTTAGAAAAATTTTGCCTCATGCAACTGATAACAATGAAGCCAGATCTCTCAGGGTTTAGGGGTCTATTGGAAACCTGAGTAAAACATCCACTCCACTGTCATTAAGGAGTCTACCGAGGGCCTTCCAATCTTTTCACAGCTGTCATAATTATAAGCTGGATATACAAGTTGTCTTTCTCAGGATTTATATAATTAATTTAATGGGACAGATTAGTATTGAAATTGAATTCAATTCAAGAGACATTCATTGAAAACCTATGCCACAGTTGTTTAGACACTGCTCATTATTTTCAGGGCCAGCTCATTTATCTTGATTAATTCAGGTGCCAACTCTGCAACATAAAAAATAGGTGCTAAACTTAAATAAATGTATTATGCAGTCACCATTACAAATAGTAATGCTTTAGCAGGCATTCCTGAGACACTTCTATGCATTTTGTTCTATTTTTTCATTATTTCCAGAAATTTCTCTCTAGTTCTTAAATAATAAGATGATTAGATAGAATGATATACAATATTCACCCTCTTTTCCTCCAGATAGAGAGGTGGAAATGAGTTAGACAAAGTGGAAGGTGGATAGTGGAAAGAAATGGAAGCTGGCAAGAATAACAGAAAGCTTAAGAGTTAGAAATGCTTCCTAATTTGTCAACTATAGCCCTCCTAGGACCTCTCAATACAAAACTTTAAAAAATATCAGACACATTCTTCCTTCTTCTGGTCAAAATATCATATTCTGTTCCTTTGGGTGTCCCCACTATTTCCTACTGATAGAGTGGTTTAGAGATATTGGACTGACTTTACCCTACATCATGTTGAGTGAGTTGAATGCTCTATCCTGTCAGCTGGGGAAAAACAAATTCTCCTTCACCCTCAGTGGGATTATAAGTGGAATCCCCAGAAACAAGGACAGAGGGAACCTTCTTGCCACAGTGCACCGTGAACATTTATCTTGTATCTCTTCCAATAGTCATTTGTGGAGATGAAGTTGTAAGAAGAAAATATGTGCACTTGAGCTCATGGATTTGGGGCATCTTTTCTAGCAGAGGCTTCCTCTTCTGGATTCTCTGCATTCCATTTAGATAAGGTTTTGGAGTCAGATATCTTCAAGTAAGAAAAGTGTTACTTTAGTAAGACAGCATCATACAAAATTAGGAAATCATTCTCAAAATAATGGATTTAGTTGGGAGAAACCAAGAATGTTAATGTATATGAAGTTGCCTGCAATATTAAATAAAATATAAAACATACTGGACATGGATTAAATCAGCCAATGAGATGAGCTGGAGATCACAAAGCATTGAACAAGTGGAGAGGAGTGGAATGGTGCCGAACAAGGAGCTCAGAGTAAAGATGAGGAAGCACGAATTCAGTGATGTATATCAGTGAGGCAGAGATGGGCCTTCTAGACTGGACAACTTCTATAAGCAGGAGCGCCTCCTCTCTCCACACTTGCCACCTAGTCTCCTAGTCTCAACACAGCCACCAACTCTGTCCCCTATTCTAAAGGTTTCCTGATAAGATAATAGAAACTTAGAAAAAGTTTCCTATCTACTTGAAACTCAAAGACTTACCATGCCACCCAGTCTTACATGATTGGGTCCCTGGCTCTCTCTTCAATTACACTCTTCAATCTTTCTTTCTCCTAGTTTGTTTCCCTCATCCCCTTTGGTCAGCTTACTATTTCAGAAATACTTCAAGCGTGTTCCCACTTCAACAACTCTGCATTTGTTCTGCCCTCTGCCTGAAATGCCCTTTCCCTAAATAGTCACACAACTTCCTCCTTCAATTATTCAAGTCCGTATTCAAATGCCCACATTATCCAGGAAAGCTTCCTTAACCACTCTATCCAAAATAGCACATATACTCACCTAAATTGCTCTCTCTTCTCCTCCTTGCCTCCTTATTATGTCTTCACAATAAGGGTTCCTAACTGATAGCATGTTATTTTGTTCATTCCTTGTTGGAACCCCATACTGGCTTTAAATTCCATGAAAGCAGAAACTTTGTTTACATTGCCTGTGCATCAGCAATGCCTGCAACATACCCAGCATGTGGTAAGCACTCAGAAGCATTTGTAGAATGAAGTATGGTGAGTGGTTCATAGTGGACTATTATGTGAAAGGTAAGTTTGGCCAAATGAATGAGGTAAAAGCCATCAAAAGTTTTGAAACATAACATGAGTTGACAAAATGGAGGCAATGGATTTTCTGAAGAACAGAGTTTAAGCCCCAAGATCCATCATAGTTCCTAGCACACAGTAAGATGTTCATTTATTGTTTTCATGATGATGTTAGATGTTAAACAAAACAGAGAAATTCCTTTTCTGTTACATGATGGGACAAGGAAAATGCACTGACCCAGAATGAAAGATTGACATTCCCCTGCACAGAACATAGGAGCTACTACGAACTGAATTGCTGTCCTCCCAAAATTCATATGTTGAAGCCCTAACTCCCAATATAACTATATTTGGAAATAAGGTCTTTAGGAGGTAATTAAAATTAAATAATATCATAATGGCAGAGCCCCAATCAGATAGAAATGTGGCTTTTTAAGAAGAGGAAGAGCAATGCCTGGGTGGCTCAGTCAGTTGAGCATCCAGCTCTTGAAGTTAGCTCTGATCATGATCCCAGGGATGGGAGACTGAGTCCTGCATCGGGGCTCAAGAATCCTGCTTGGGATTCTCTCTCTCTCTCTGTCTCTCTCTTTCTCTCTCTCTCTCTCTCCCTCCTTCCCTCCCTCTTCTCCTCTATTCAGCTCACATGCTCTGTCTCTCAAGAAGAGGAAGAAGGTGGAGGAAGAGGAGGAGGAGGGGGGAGAAGAAAAAGAAGAAGAAGAAGAGCTATCTCTCTCTGTCCCTCTGTTTCTATTTCTTTATCTTGTGAAGACACAGCAAAAAGGTGGCCATCTGCCAGCCAGGAAAATAACTTTCACCACAAACCAAATCTGCCAACAACCTCAATCTTGGACTTCCAGCCTTCAGAAAGGTAAAAAACAAATTTCTGCTCTTTAAGCCACTCAGCTTGTGGTATTTTGTTGCAGCAAGCTGACCTGATAGGAGTCTTCTGGTATTTCTATTCCACATTATTAGAGCTTCTTTCCTGCTGATGAAGTCTTCTGGGAACTCTATCCTGAATGAAATAAGATAGCAACTGGTGATGAGCAGTAAATGGACTGTTTCTCTTGGAGACACTGGCTTTAAATCACATATCTATCAATGAGGCAGCCAGCATAAGGACCCCATTATAAGTGCCCCCTGAAGACTCATTGTGGGAAGAATGTCTAATTTCCCTTGGGACAAGTAACCAATTTTCACTTATATTATGCTTTCTCACAGATGAGGAGAGTTGTCCTCAGCTGTTTATACCAGTGTTCTAAGATACTCTAGAAAAAGCATTTTAAATGGCTTCCATGATCAAAGCAATATTTGAGGCAATGTGTTATCTGTATATTTTTTTGTAACAAAGAGTGTGTAACAATTTTGTAGTCATAAAAATTATTAAAAATTATTAAAAGTTAATTTCAAAAGAAAAGCAGGATATACATATACACATACATTATTATTATTATTATTATTATTATTATTATAACAAATGTTGAAAATATATGAGAAAAAAGCCTAAGAGCAAATCACCAACAGTGGTTTGTCTTGGATGGTGTTAGCTAATGCTTACTGAACACTTTTTGGGATCAGATGATTTACCTGAATGGCTCATTTCATTTCTTAGCAACCATATAGTATAGTTACTATTAACATTATGTCTATTTTACAAATAAAGAAACTGAGGCACAGACAAGTACAGTACCATTCCCAACATCATATAGTTTGGTGGCACCGTTGGGATTTGAACCTAGTCAATTTGACACTAAAATCTGTGTTCCTACCATACATATACTGTCAAAGATACAGTATTTTATTCCTTTGGGTTTACTTTTACAGTGGAAAAAAAATAGGATTCTCCGTATTTCTTGTCTGTTGTATAGAAAAAGAAAATAGTATTAAAGGATCAATATAAAAAATTCAAGGCAATGGACAAAATATACACTAAAATCACAACCTGTTTATAGAATTCTGCCTTGCATAAATAAAATTCCATTGCCCACTTCTTGCTGAGATTGTTTTTAGAGAACAGACACCTGCATAAGTCCTGATGGAATGGCCCTCACCTTGGAAAGATGGCCTGCTGTGACTGCATCTGCAATCTAATCATGATTTTCAAAAGAATTAAACTAGAAAAAGAAAACCAGAGTCTCATGAAGTATGTGATTTGAAAAAAATAATAATGGTGAAATCAGTTTGTCTTTTTAAAATAATTAATCGATTCTGTTTAATTTTTAATATTTTTCTAAGGGAAATATATCACTTAAAAAGTATAGATTTTTAAATGTTATATTTTTCTGAAAGAAACATTGACCCTTTAAGTAGGAAAAATTAAATAAGGCATTGTGGTATCAACTGAAACTCAGCAACTATAAGGTTTTTTAGAAAGAAAGCTACAGAGGGGCACGTGGGTGTCTCAGTTGGATTAATTGTTCGACTCTTGGCTTTGGCTCAGGTCATGATCTCACGGTTCTCGTGAGTTCAAGCCCCACATCGCTGCTTGGGATTCTCGGTCTCCCTCTCTCTCTGCCCCTCCCCGACTCATTCTCTATCTCTCTCTCTCTCTCTCAAAAAAAAAAAAAAAAAAAACCTAAAAAAAAAAAAGAAATCTACAGAGAAAGGAGTATATTGAAATCTGTATATGAGGTATCTGGAAGAATCAGTGACTATAGGCTCCATTTTACACATGAATCAGTTTAGAACCAGATCTAAGGAGGGCCATAATTTGGGGTGAGTTCTGGTAATATTGTACACTGCTACCATCCATGAGGTAGTCCAGTGTCTCACCTGCATGTTTTGCATGATCTTAGGAAGAGGTCAAAGATTTTTTAAGTTTACTTCTAATCAATATTACATTATAAAGAAAAACATACATATATGGGAAATAAGACAAATAATATTTATTTAGAATTGGAAAAGATACATCTCATTAACTTTTGACAAAAGATCACTGAGTGCTATAAACCCATTACTTACCATACTTGGTTGAAAGCCCCTGCTTGCTGTCACTCGGCCACTTATCCAGTATTCTATATATTTTTGTGATTCATTTATTAAGTTTAAATTAACAGGAATATGTTATAGACTCTCCTGTAAAGAGCACATGTTTTATAAGTACACACTTAATAATGACTAACACTGTTTCTTCTTTTTGCTGTTAATTTCTACAGAGTTGGTTAAATTGCACTCTTAACATCCACTTAAGTGTGTTCCAGCGTAGAACAAAATGTTCCCAAATTACATGTTCTGAACTATAGAGAGCCAGCTTTGGTCAATTAGGATGGATTCCTCCCTCTCAGATGTTGATACAATACGGCTGTTCCATCAAATGCATAATTATAAATTAATGGTTTTAACCATGAAATGAAATCACTAATGTAGCCATATATAATATTTCTGAGGGATACATGTCTCTATCACACTAATTAAGGCACATCTGAATGATCTGTACAGTCAAAATTTGTCTATGCAAAAAAAAAATCCTAAAGTATATAATAAAAATGGAACTAATGCTGAATCTTGAACCCTGTCTTATTCTAGCTGTAAAAACTGTTACAATCCACAGAAATATGATCTAATTAAAGAAAATTTCCATGTCTCATCTCACTACAAGATGATTTTACAAAATAATTTTGCTTATTATATTTAATAACTGGACAGTTAAATATATTTAGGAGAAAGATGTAACTTTTTTAATTTTAAAATGTTAACTTTTCTAATGCAAGGGACTTTTCTCCAATATTTACTTTTAGTTGTCCACTTTTATTTATTTATTTTTTTAATTTTTTTTTCAACGTTTATTTATTTATTTTTGGGACAGAGAGAGACAGAGCATGAACGGGGGAGGGGCAGAGAGAGGGGGAGACACAGAATCGGAAACAGGCTCCAGGCTCCGAGCCATCAGCCCAGAGCCTGACGCGGGGCTGGAAATCACGGACCGCAAGATCGTGACATGGCTGAAGTCGGACGCTTAACCGACTGCGCCACCCAGGCACCCCAGTTGTCCACTTTTAAATATCTAGGAGCATTTGAATAAAAAGTATGAAGGACATTCCAATAAAGAATTTTAATTTGTGGGGCGCCTGGGTGGCTCAGTCGGTTGAGCAACCGACCTTGGCTCAGGTCATGATCTCATGGTTTGTGAGTTTGAGCCCCGCATCAGGCTCCATGCTGACAGCTCAGAGCCAGGGGCCTGCTTCGGATTCTGTGTCTCCTTCTCTCTCTCTGCCCCTCCCTCACTCATGCTCAGTCTCTGTCTGAGAAATAAACATTAATTTTTTTTAAAATAATTTTAATTTGTTTTGTTTCTTCCTTTCCACATATGAATGAAATCCTATGGTATCTGTCTTTCTCTGACTTACAAAGGACAAGGGTGAAAAAAAAAAAGAAAGAGAGAGAGAGGCAAGCCAAGAAGCAGACACTTAACTATTGGGAACAAATTGATTCTAGAAGTTACTAGCGGGGAGGTATGTGTGGGGTTGAGTTAAATAGGTGACGGGGATTAAGGAGTGCACTTACGCTGAGCACCAGGTGTAGTTTGGAAGTGTTGAATCACTATATTGTACCCTGGAAACTAATATTACACTGTATGTTACCTAACTGGAATTTAAATAAAAACTTAAAAAAAAGAATTTTAATTTAAATGCAGTGGAAAGTTCTTAAAGGGTTATCATAAAATTACCAAATGAATAAGATTTACAATCAAAAGATCATGGCCACTGGTATAGGGAGAAAGAGGTTTAAGAGTGAAAGCTGAGAGCTGATTGAAAGGCAGTTTCTCCTTCTTTCCTGGGAAAGGATGGTATATGAACTGGGGTTGGTGGCTGTAAGAATTCACAGAGGGGGGCACCTGGGTGGCTTAGCAGGTGGAGCCTCGGCTCTTGGTTTCAGCTCAGATCATGATCTCACAGTTCGTGAGTTCAAGCCCTGCATTAGGCTCTGTGCTGACAGGGCAGAGTCTGCTTGGAATTCTCTCTCTCTCTCTCTCTCTCTCTCTCTCTCTCTGCCTCTTAAAATAAAAAAAAATTGACACAGGAAGTGGATATGAAATATATTTTAGAAGTAGAATTAACAGAACTTAGGTTAAATCATGTAAGTCAGTGAAATGACTCTTAGGTCTTTGTTTTGTTTTGTGTTTTGCTTGACTGGTTAAATGAATAATGGTGCCATTAAATTAAGAAGGCTGAAGGAAGGATAGAACTGGGAACATTAAGATTCTACTTCTACATGTACAGTTTGCATTACTCTTCAGATATTTAGTTGAGTTTTCAAGTAAGCTATTGATATGAAAGTTTGGAACTGATAGGAGATATAAGAGCTGGAGATATAGACATAGATTAATCAATATCAGATGGTATTAAATCCATGGGACTAGAAGAAACGACGTATGGAGTGATGATAGTGAACGAATAACATTTGACTCTATTCAGATGCTCTCTTTCATTTGGGGGTCAAGTAGAGGAAAAGCTGCAAGTAAGGAGACCAAGAAGTAGTAGCCAGTGACACAGGAGGAAAGCCAGGAGAGTGTGACATCCGAGGAGGGAGAGAAGAAAGCTTTCTCAGACACATTCACTAACGTGCTTATTTGAACCAGGCCTTTCAGTGGCTCATACCTGCAATGCAAAAAAGTTTTAAAAAGGAAACATAAAGAATAACTTTGTAACAGGGGAAAAAAGAGAAATAATTTGGATCACGATTAAAGAGACAATTTAATCCCTTTATTGACTACACGGGCATTTACTAACTACAGGTTAAACTGGGGGCTTGCGAACCTGAGACCAAGGGAGAGGAAGTTGAGAAAGCTGTTCCCAGACATCTCCCCATGCCAGTATCTGGAAGAACAAACTTAAAGGAGTCTTTTCCACTTGCAGGACAGTAGTCACTTCAAGTCACAGCTTGGCCAACAAGGGCTGAGGTTAACATTCAGAAACAGGAGAAAATGACAAACAAAGCAGGGTATGAGAGCGATGAGAGCAGTGCTCCCTCCCTCTCTTCGCCACCCCACTCATCTCCCATAAAGGACTGCATGAAGTAGCCAGATAGTAGGTACTGTAGGGACAAATACAAATGAAATACAGGAGGCTTAATGTTCTCTCTTGCAAATAAATGAAGAGATTTCCCTGTCCTCCTTTTTCTTTGAGCATTTACTTAGAAAAATTATAACTTTAAGTACTATCTCCTTTGAAATGTATGTAAATCCCTTTGAAGACTAGATCAACATTTTGTCAGCTTTATAATCTGGGAAACTCTTTCTCAAGGACTCAGAGCCATCTGTTTGAAATGTAAACATCAAGGAAGGTAACGCCACTATCTCCCACTTTCTGTGGGAGGGTCACTTCCCTGTGCAGCTTGCTCCAGTTGCAAAACTGTCTCATGTTATAAAGACATGAAAAGTTTGGTTTTCCTCTGGATAAACACAGCACAGATGGTCACCCCAATTTCTAAGTAAGGTTGGGATGAACTGTATGTGACAAATGGTGTTGTCAAGACCGCTTATTTGAGAACTAGTTATTTTTTATTTTGAGAACATGTAAGTAATGGGTTGTACCTGCTTGGTTATATAAAAGGTTTGGGGGTGGGGGATGCTCTGTCTGTGCAATCTGTTAGTTGATCTCCTGAGATACACATCACATTCTGTTTTAATGCTTATTCAATAGTAAAGCTTCTTCCTTCTCAACTATGTGGAGAGGATTTCTGGGTTGGAGGAGATTGTGTTTATATTATAATACCTATTTCCCATTTAGATTAACCATCTTCCTTAATGAAAATTAACAATAAAAATCCTCCTATTCCTACCAAGTGATAAAGGAAAAAAAAACTGGTAGGTGGATTGTGTACAAGGAAACTTTGCAAATTTTCAACGCACGAATCTTGACCAGACAGCTTTCCTAACTTTTTTTTCCCCAAAATGATACATTATGTAACATGGTAATTAACATCTATGCTATATAATGAGATAAATTATATGCAAGAATAAAAGGATTTTAAATTAGAGGAAAAGTACACTTTATAAGTCAATTTTATTCTACAATTAAACAAATACAGACTTAGTAATTTATGTGTTTCATCTGCTGAGTAGGCGAGGGCTAACCAAACCGACTGAGATAGTTGCTGTTCCGAAGGTGCTCAGAGTCTAGCTGGGAAGAGACTCTTGCATCCTTAATTAATTTTGAATACATAAATAGTAACAAGTAGAAATGTCTTAATTCCGAGTAGAAACGTCTTCATCCCTAAATAGATAATTTCCAATTATATCTATAGATTGTTTCAGTCATTTTGCTTTCATTTCATATTCTAACTCTTTTTCCAATTATGGTGAGATGGGAGGCCAAAACACTAAGCTGTGAGTAGGAATTTAAACTGTAAAATTTTTGGGGCGCCTGGGTGGCTCAGTCGGTTAAGCGTCCGACTTCAGCTCAGGTCATGATCTCACGGCTAGTGAGTTCGAGCCCCGTGTCAGGCTCTGTGCTGACAGCTCAGAGCCTGGAGCCTGTTTCAGATTCTGTGTCTCCCTCTCTCTCTCTGACCCTCCCCCGTTCATGCTCTGTCTCTCTTTGTCTCAAAAGTAAATAAACGTTAAAAAAAATTAGAAAAAAAAATAAACTGTAAAATTTTCTATGTGTCTAAGTTATGGAGGAGAATATTTTTTAATAAGTGACAATCTTGGACAAGAATCACCAAGGTTTTCCTAATGGGAAGGATGAAAAAAACCTTTGATTCCAACGCAGGTTAAATTCAATCTGTAGCCCATAAATTATGGTGGAAAATGGAAGGAAAGAAAACAGAAGTACTATATGGGTCTTCAATTTGTCCTCCTGACCACAAAATGCAACCATCCAAGTTGAATTCCTATTCCAAACAGGGTTTTTTAAAAATCAAGAATGCAAAACCAGTGCAGCCACTCTGGAAAACAGTATGGAGGTTCTTCAAAAATAAGAATAGAACTACCCTATGACCCAGAAATTGCACCACATTTACCCAAAGGTTACAAAAATACTGACTCGAAGGGACACATGCATGCTGGTATTGATAGCAGTGTTATCAATAATAGCCAAATTATGGAAAGAGCCCAAATTCATTCATCAACTGAAGAATGGATAAAGAAGATGTGGTATATAAATACAAAAGAATATTACTCAGCCATCAAAAATAATGAAATCTTGCCATTTGCAATGATGTGGATGGAGCTAGAGTGTATTATGCTAAGCAAAGTAAATCAGTCAGAGAAAGACAAATGCCATACGATTTCACTGATATGTGGAACTGAGGAAATAAACCAAATGAACATAGAGGGAAAACCACAAAGCAGACTCCTAACTACAGAGAACACACTGAGGTTTACTGGAGGGGAGGTGGGGGAGAGATGGGTTAAATGGGTGATGGGTATTGAGGAGAGCACTTGTGATGAGCACTGGGTATTGTATGCAAGCAATGAATCACTAAATTCTACACCTGAAACTACTATTACACTGTAGGCTAACTAACTGGAATTTAAATTAAAAAATTGATAAAAAAAAAAAAAAAGAATAGAGCCATATTTGAAAATACGTGAGCTTTGGGGCGCCTGGGTGGCGCAGTCGGTTAAGTGTCCGACTTCAGCCAGGTCGCGATCTCGCTGTCCGTGAGTTCGAGCCCCGCGTCAGGCTCTGGGCTGATGGCTCAGAGCCTGGAGCCTGTTTCTGATTCTGTGTCTCCCTCTCTCTCTGCCCCTCCCCTGTTCATGCTCTGTCTCTCTCTGTCCCAAAAATAAATAAACGTTGAAAAAGAAAAAAAAAATTAAAAAAAAAAAAAAAGAAAATACGTGAGCTTTCACAGAGTCAGAATGTTTTGAACAGAATGAAGTGAACAATGACTTCACTGTGTGGACTGACTCTTCCTTTCATGAACAATTTCTCTGTAGCATATGTTGCTGTTTGATAACATTTTACCTACAGTAGAATTTGTTTCAAAATCAGAGTCAATTCCAACAAACCTTGTCCCTTGCTTTATCAGTTAAGTTTATGTAATATTCTAAGTCCTTTGTTGTCATTTCAACAGTCTTCATGGCATATTCACCAGGACCAGGTGCCATCTCAAGAAACCACTTTCTTTGTTCAGCCATAAGTAACAGCTCCTCATCAAAGTTTTATCATAAGTTTGCAGCAATTCGGTCATATCTTCAGGCTCCACTTGCAATTCTAGTTCTCTTGCTATTTCCACCAAATCTATTGTTACTTTGTCCACTGAAGTCTTGAACCCCTCAAATTCATTCATGAGGGTTACAATAAATTTCTTCCAAACTCCCATTCATGTTGATATTTTGACCTCATTCTATGAATCATAAATGTTCTTAACAGCATATAGAATGATGAATGCTTTCTAGAAAGTTTTCAATTCACTTTGCCAAGATCCACCAAGGGAATCACCATCTTTGGCAGCTACAGTTTATAAAATGTATTTCTTAAATAATGAGGCTTAAAAGTCAAAATTATTCCTTGATCCGTGGGCTGCAGGGTGGATGTTGTGTTAGCAGGCATGAAAACACTAACCTCATTGTACATCTTATCAGAGCTCTTGGAGGACAAGATGCACAGTCAGTAAGCAGTAATGTTTTGAAAGAAGTTGTTTTTTTTTTTTTTTGCTCTGCAGTAGGTGACATCGTGGGCTTAAAATATTCAGTAAACTGTTGTAGACAACTGTTGTAGACAGTTGTTGTAGACAACCATCCAGGTTTGGTTGTTCCATTTAAGGAGCATCAGTCGAGTAGATTTAGCATCATTCTTAACGGCCCTAGGGCTTTCAGAATGATAAATAAGCATTGAATTCATCAGGTGCATTAGCCCCTAACAAGAGAGTCAGCCTGTCATCTGAAGCTTTGAAGCCAGGCATTGACTTCTCCCCAGTTACAAAAGTCCTAGATGGCATCTTCTTCCAATATAAAGCTGTTTCATCTTACATTGAAAATCTGTACCCACCTTCATTAATTATCTTATCTAGACCTTCTGGATAATTAATTATCTTATCTAGACCTTATGATGCAGCTTCTACATCAGCACTTGCTGTTTCATCTTGTACTTTTACATTATGGAGAGGGCTTCTTTCTTAAACCACATGAACCAACCTCTCTTAGCTTCAGACTTTTCTTCCGCACCTTCCTCATCTCTCAGCCTTTGTAAAATTGACGACAGTCAGGGCCTCACTCTGAATTAGGCTTTGGTTTAAGAGGACTTGTGGCTTGTTTAACCTTCTATCCAGACCACTCAGACTTTTTCCCTATTATCAACAAGGCTGTTTGGCTTTCTTATCATTTGTGTGTTCGCTAGAGTAGCATTTGTAAATTTCTTCAAGAACTCTTCCTCTGCCTTCACAACTTGGCAAAGTGTTTGATGCACAGGTTTAGTTTTTGGCCTAGCTCAGCTTTCAACATTCCTTCCTCATTAAGCTTAATAATTTCTAGCTTTCAATTTAAAGTGAGAGACATGCAACTCTTCTTTCACTTAAACACTTAGGGGCCCATTGTAGGGTTATCAGTTGGCCTGGTTTCAATACTGTTGTGTCTCAGGCAAGAGAGAGACCCAAGGAGAGGGAGAGTCACTGGGGAACAGCCAATTGGTAGAGCCATCAGAACACAAACAACATTTACCGACCAAGTGTGCCATCTTATATGGTCATAGTTCATTGCACTCCAAATCAATTACAATACATTTCTGATCACAGATCACCATAATAAATACAATAATAATGGAAAAGTTTGAAATATTAGGGGACTCACCAAAATGTGACACAGAGACACGACATGAGCAAATGCTTTGGAAAAATTGCACTGACAGACTTGCTCAATGAAAAATACTCACAAACCTTCAGTTTGTAAAATATGCAGTATCTGCAAAGTACAATAAAGCAAAGCAAAATAAAACAAGGTATGTTTCTATATATTTCCTTCCATCTCCTTGAATAGGAAAGAAGTTAAATAAGTGATTCTGAATCTTTTTGGGCTCAAGAATTCTCTCCACCTAAAAATAATTGAGGACCAGAAAGAACTTTTGTTGATATGGGTTATTTTATATTTCCTTAATATTTACCTTGTTAAGGAAATAAACTAAGAATTTTAAAAAATGTTATTTACTTTAAAATAACAATAATAAACATGTTTTAACATTAAAAAGTCTTTAAAAATCGTCTATATTTTCAAAAAATAGTAACAAGAATTGTGACTTTGTCCTACAATTTTGAAAACCCTTTAATATCAGGCTTCTTAGAAGACAATTAAATTATCATATATGCTCCTGCATTTATCTGGGTTTTTTTCAAAATTTTTTAGTGTTTATTTATTTTTGAGAGAGAGAGAAAGACACAAGAAGGGGAAGGGCAGAGAGAGAGGGAGACACAGAATCCAAAGCAGGCTCCAGGTTCTCAGCTGTCAGCACAGAGCCTGACATGGAGCTCAAACTCACTGACCGTGAGATCATGACCTGAGCCAAAGTCAGATGCTCAACCGACTGAGCCACCCAGGCACCCCTGCCTTTATCTGTTTTAATATGCTGTTTTGGTTGAAGTATAATAAAGAAAATATGGTCTCACACAGACATGTAGTTGGACAAAGAAGTAGTATTTTAATAGCCTTTCAGATAATTATGAATATTCTTCTTTGACACTATATCAAAACTCAATAGGTGTAGCTTTTTAGGTGAGTTGCTCTATGGAATATAAAGCCATATCACTGAATTTTTCATACTCTATTGTGTTAAAACCCATTCATCTATTTTATACTTTGAACAGATCCTTTACTGATGTGCAACTTTGTAATATCACACATTAATCATTTGTAAAATATTTGTTCATGAGACTATTGCAGATGTCCCCAAACTGACATTTTATTGTATAATAAAACACATCACATTTGCTGTTATAGCAAAAGATATCATAAAAAAAGAGGTTTGGGGAGCTGTCAAGTTCATGTGACATACGCCACAAGGTACTAGTACAGTTTGATCAACTAAAGAACTATAAAAACACAATGTATTATTTTATGTGCTGAGGTCTGCTAATGCTAGTATCTTAGATGTACCCACTTCATAATAATAGGAATGACTATAAAGATCCTAATAATACATAATAATATAATCTTAAAATGATCTGATGTCTGTGATTTGCTTCAAAATAATTAAAAGGAAGGGACATGGAGGTCATTATAGATAAAACAAGATTAGACATGGGTGAAAAGTTATTATTAATTATATTATTCCCTTTACTTGAGTTCATGTTTGAAATTTGCCAAAATAAATATTAATATATAACTTGAACTCTTCAATGGAGTTACTTTTCTTTTTTGGATCATAACATGACTAATTAAGATCCAAACTTTTTAAATTCAATTTGATGGGTTACACAACTAACAAAAGATCTACCTTACGATGATTTGGCACTATACAGGAGTACTTAACATTGATTTCTCATACTCTTCTAAAATAACAATTTTCTTTCACAAATATCATCTAACAAGCTTAGTCCTTACCTCAGGTCACAGGCAAAAAATATCAGGTAATTCTACCTATAGTTTACCAAACAAAGTATCCTAATAAATGTTCAAATTATTTTCCAGTATTGGATTTTAACTTACAAATTTACATAGGAATATATTTTTTTCACTTGAGGAAAATAAAATATTTTTGCAGGTACTCTTGTTAAACTAATTAATGTATTGTTTCCTATAACCCAGACTTCTCTTTTTTTTTCTCAATTTAAGCAATAATTCCAAAGTGATTTTCATGTCTAAATGAAAGGAACTTTTCATTTAAAAATTAGGTTAATTTACCTATTGAATTTCAAAGATTTAAGACCATATCTGAAGAGATTGAATTAGTAATCAAAAATCTCCCAAAAAACAAGAGTCCAGGGCCAGATGGATTTCCAGGGGGAATTCTACCAAACATTTAAGGAAGAGTTAACACCTATTCTCTTGAAGTTGTTCCAAAAAAAAAAAAAAAAAAAAGAAATGGAAGGAAGACTTCCCAACTCTTTCTATGAAGCCAGCATTACCTTGATTCCAAAACCAGACAAAGACCCCACTAAAAAGAAGAACTATAGACCAATTTCCCTGATGAACATGGATGCAAAAATCCTCAACAAGATATTAGCCAACAGGATCCAACAATACATTAAAAAAATTATTCACCACGACCAAGTGGGATTTATACCTGGGATGCAGGGCTGGCTCAATATCTGCAAAACAATCAATGTGATTCATCACATCAATAAAAGAAAGGACAAGAACCACATGATCCTCTCAATAGATGCAGAGAAAGCATTTGACAAAATACAACATCCTTTCTTGATAAAAACCCTCAAGAAAGTAGGGACAGAAGAATCATACCTCGAGATCATAAAAGCCCAACGTTACGAAAGACCCAATGTTAATATCATCCTCAATGGGGAAAAACTGAAAGCTTTCCTCCTAAGGTCAGGAACAAGACAGGGATGTCCACAGTCAACACTGTTATTCAACATAGTACTGGAAGTCTTAGCCTGAGCAATCAGACAACACAAAGAAATAAAAGGCATCCAAAGCAGCCAAGGGGAGGTCAAACTTTCATTCTTCGCAGATGACATGATACTTCATATGGAAAACCCAAAAGATTCCACCAAAAGACTGCTAGAACTGATCCATGAATTCAGAAAAGTGGCAGGATATAAAATCAATGCACAGAAATTGGTTGCATTTCTAAACACCAAAATGAAGCAACAGAAAGGGAAATCAAGGAAACTATATCATTTACAATTGCACCAAAAACCATAAAATACCTAGGAACAAATATAACCAAAGAGGTAAAGAATCTATACACTGAAAACTATAGAAAGCTTATGAAGCAAATTGAAGAAGAGACAAAAAAAATGGAAAAAAATTCCATGCTCCTGAATAAGAACAAATACTGTTAAAATGTCAATACTACGCAAAGCAATCTACATATTCAATGCAATCCCTATCAAAATAACACCAGCATTCTTCACAGAGCTAGAACAAACAATCCTAAAATTTGTATGGAACCAGAAAAGACCCCAAATAGTCAAAGCAATCTTGAAAAAGAAAACCAAAGCAGGAGGCATCACAATCCCGGACTTCAAGCTATACTACAAAGCTGTAATCATCAAGACAGTATGGTACTGGCACAAGAACAGACACTCAGCTCAGTGGAACAGAATAGAGAACCCAGAAGTGGACCCAAAAACATATGCCCAACTAATCTTTGACAAAGCAGGAAAAAATACCCAATGGAATAAAGACAGTCTCTTCAGCAAGTGGTGCTGGGAAAACTGGACAGCGACATGCAGAAAAATGAACCTGGACCACTTTCTTACACCATGCACAAAAATAAACTCAAAATGGATGAAAGACCTCAAAGTAAGACAGGAAGCCATCAAAATCCTTGAGGAGAAAGCAGGCAAAACCTCTTTGATCTTGGCTGCAGCAACTTCTTACTCAACACATCTCTGGAGGCAAGGGAAACAAAAGCAAAAATGAACTATTGGGACCTCATCAAAATAAAAAGCTTTTGCACAGCAAAGGAAATAATCAGCAAAACTAAAAGACAACCGATGAAATGGGAGAAGATATTTGTAAACCACATATCAAATAAAGGGTTAGTATCCAAAATCTATAAAGAACTTATCAAACTCAACACCCAAAAAAACAAATAATCCAGTGAAGAAATGGGCAAAAGACATGAATAGACACTTCTCCAAAGAAGTTGGACATTCAGATGGCCATCTGCCACATGAAAAATGCTCCACATCACTCATCATCAGGGAAATACAAATCAAAATCACAATGAGGTACCACCTCACACCGGTCAGAATGGCTAACATTAACAACTCAGGCAAGAGCAGATGTTGGCGAGGATGTGGAGAAAGAGGATCTCTTTTGCACTCTTGGTGGGAATGCAAACTGGTGCAGCCACTCTGGAAAACAATATGGAGGTTCCTCAAAAAATTAAAAATAGAACTACCCTATGATCCAGCAATTGCACTAGGTATTTATCCAAGGGATACAGGTGTGCTGTTTCGAAGGGACACATGCACCCCCATGTTTATAGCAGCAATATCAACAATAGCCAAAGATGGAAAGACCCCAAATGTCCATTGATAGACAAATGAATAAAGAAAATGTGGTATATATATACAATGGAGTATTACTCGGCAATCAAAAAAGAATGAAGTCTTGCCATTTGCAAATATGTGAATGGAACTAGAGGGTATTATGCTAAGCAAAATTAGTCAGTCAGAGAAAGACAAATATCATGTGACTTCACTCATATGAGGGCTTTAAGACACAGAACAGATGAACACAAGGGAAGGGAAGTAAAAATAATATAAGAACAGGGAGGGGGACAAAACATAAGAGACTCTTAAATATGGAGAAC